TTAAGGTTACCGTGCACCTTCAGGGGTGTCTCGCGTGCAAGCGATGTAGCGCGTCCGGTTTAAACTGTAGATATCTAAACCCCTATATCAAATTAAAGCTTATAGGACTGGCTATCAGACTATACCAAAAATTTTGAAAAAAAATTAATTGTCGAATTTTTCACGACTTCTAAATGCGAGCGCCCGAATCACCTTTTGAACGTTACATGTTAAAGCAAATTTTGTTTTTCGCTTATTTAATGTGTTCCTCCGTTTCCGGGGCCAAAGCGCTAAAAAAACATGTCTGCGATTTGCCATATTCAATTTCAGTGAAAAGTTACAGAATATTTTTGAAATAGGATTAAAAAAATGAGTAAAGATCGTACAAAATCGCTCTTGAAAAAAAAAATATTTAGAAATAAAAAATTCGGAGACACGTGTTTGTTGTTTATATATAAAACTAGCTTCTGTCAAAATTTGAGAGCAATCGAACAAATTCCCGTTGACTTGTAGCTCTTAAAAAGTGATTCGGGCGCTCGCATTTAGAAGTCGTGAAAAATTTGACAATTAATTTTTTTTCAAAATTTTTGGTATAGTCTGATAGCCAGTCCTATAAGCTTTAATTTGATATAGGGGTTTAAATATCTACAGTTTAAACCGGACGCGCTACATCGCTTGCACGCGAGACACCCCTGAAGGTGCACGGTAACCTTAAATGAAAGTTTAATCGTTTTTATCAAGTTATAGAGTCCAACTATCAATTGTATTAATTGCGGCATCTCGTTTACTATACTGCTGGTCTTTGTCAGGCGACGAGGTTTATTCACGTTGAATAGCCGAGTGTAATGCAAAGTGTGAAGTTTAATGACAATGGGAAAACATGTTGTAACAGCTTGGTAATAAAACTTCGAGGAGATGTTTGAATCTTCATTTTATCTTTTTATCCAAACATCTTAGACTTTTGATCACGCATGCGTGTTGCACTCCTACAATTATGCATTGCAGGACGTACTCATTTCATTCCTCCCAGACATGTTTTTCATTTCATGCGTTTGATTAGCCACAAATACAAATTCGTGCAATTACCTTCCCCCCTCACCCCCCCCCCGCCAAACGACAGGTGGCTTTAACATGGCTATTGTTCTTGTTCAGTGTTGTGTAACGGATCACTGGAGCTATAAAACTGAAATAAGCCTCTTTTATCGTCCATTTTAAAGGCAGCTTGGGAACACGGCGAGAAATTATCTTTGATTTCTGTTAAACTCAGAGTTTGTTCTTCACATTGCTCCGCGGATGTATTCCAGTCATTTGCAATGCAACCGTTCTCAACGTCAACCTTATTACCATTGTTTAATAACTCCTCTGAGGCTCCTGTATTTTCATCTTCATCCTTTGAGCAAGTTGGGCCACTTTCGTCGCTGGAGAGTTCATCCATACTGACATCAATACTCCTTTCACCGTCTTCTTCTGTTTCCGTCAAATCTTCTCTTCGGCTTTTACACTTGAGGTTGATTTCGCGGACGAGAGAATCATATACGGACATGTTCGCTTTCTCGCGTGCTAAGCGCGTGGCTTCACCTCTGTAAATTTCCCGCCTCTTCTTCCTTGTGGTTGACATCAACTTGTCGTACCCAGGCGTTATAAAAACCACATCTCGGGTTGTATTATCAGCTAATTCATTTTCATAACGAGGCTGATAAAAGAGATACTGGAGAGGATTGACAGCTTTCCTCCCCAGATGGTCGAGATTTTCATATGGTGATCTTCGCATCTCCTGCCTTCCAACAGCTCTTGGTCTTGTATTCATCCACGGGTGGCCCGGGAGAGGCAAAGCCTTCAGAGGATTTTCGTACATGCCAGGAATGGAATAGCCATAATTTGCTGCATTTGCTGGAAAAACTTCACTGAGGCGAACTGTTGCATAAGGAGTGATTTTCTCTTCATCTTGGATGTTGGGGTTATTTTGCTTACGACCTGCTGATGAAAGAAATTTTGTTTAATCAAAATAATGTGAAGTTGCAAAGAAAGTTTGAGATTTACGAGGCAACATTGCTTCACTTACTATGTTTCTTGACTAAAGTAACGACCAGAATCACGCTGACGATAAAAAGAATAGATCCAATGGTTGAAAGAATGATGGTCCATGTCGAGTTTAGCTCTGAAATAAAATAGGAATAGTGAGACATTTCCCAGCACTGGTAGTATTAACAAAGGCAGCTAGAACGAAATTTTCGTTCTCAGTCAAATGGTCCGGTTTCCCAAGTCTCAACTGAGTTTCAAAACAGTTCGTAAGTTGTCGTGCTTGGAAGTACAGATACTGTGAAATACTGACCTAATATCTTTGTGTGCACTGTCTCATCCACTGGCACTTCTTCAACATTGTCGTCATTCTCTAAAACAAAGTATAATGAATAAATCACATCTGTTGAGGAAAATCATAGTTTCCTACACGTGTGTTCCTCTATTTATAGGTGCAAGTGATGACCAATTTGACCAATTATGTGGTTGATGCAAAGAAATGGAAGTGCAGTTGGCAATCAAAGAAAGAAGTAAATAGATACTTGGCTTCGCATATCTATTGATCCATCTTGTTGGTCCTGATTTGGGAATTGAATCATTATGCCACATTAAATTGTATTATTTCAATCAACCAGTAGAACTTCTACGCATAAATCACAAGCCTAATCAAGCGCGGAAGTGAAATCAAAGTTCACACGCGGAAGAAGAAGCCAAAATACAATTAGTTCAATGCACTGTTTCAACGTTTCAGTATCAGTTCAGGGGAGAATTTATCAATCTTCGTATCGTGAGAAGAGGCAGAAGCAAATAATTATAGTTTTCAGTTACCAGGACAATCTTGAAGGCTGCATTGTTGCCGTTCAAAGAGAGCACCGAGCGAGGAGCAATTTTTCCCGCCAAGACGCGGTCTGCCACAAGTGCGCGTGCGTGTGGTCCAGCCGTTCCCGCAAGATACTGAACACTTGGTGAAGGGACTCCAATTGGACAACGTTGCGTCTTCTATATACGGGTAGGAAATAATCCAGATAAGCATTGAGTAAATAAACAATTGTGCAGCAATTGAGTAACTCGTATCGACCAGATAAAAAACTAGTTGGCTAATCTTTAATGGCATGGAATAGTCCGTTTTGTAAGATAAGAAAAAATTGTCGGAATCAAGTATACACGAAACGCTAAACTTTTATGGTAGCGAAATTCCATTCGTATGCACGACTCCAAAAACTGTAGTAACCCAATGTTGCTTTAAGTATCAACTTTTTTTAAGGCCAAAAAAGGCAGTAGCATGTATTTTGTAATTGCAGAATATATCCCAGAATGTTGGCGCAATCAGAGCGCGTTGCAATAAATTTGGGTAACTTGTTCGTGTCTTTATGCTAAAAATGTGCCGAGTTTTTGTATTGCATTGATTTTTACCTCTTAAATATTAGTATGGGTGGCAACATTCTCGAAATGAAAGCTTTTGGTGACTTTAGTTGGCTATAACCTATAACAAACGCAATTTCCCACATGGCTCGACTTGTTAGTGACTAGGTAACCGGGCCTACTGTCACAACATTCTTTTAGCGCGTTGACCCTAATCATACACACTGTGATACTATTTTACCAAAAATCTGCTTAAAGCAGACGAACTAGTCTTACCTGGAGTACAAGTAGAGATATTACAGTACTCCCAGCGAACTGAAGAATTTGTGGTGTAGCACCAAGGACCGAGAGGGGCCTGTCCTTCAGGGTTCCGGCATGCATTGCCGGCGTTGATCAGTTCGGGAAAGTTCTTTGGGGTTCTGTGGTGTCGATGAGGACACTGGGAAATCCAAGACTGGCACGTGTGACCGGACTGTGTAACAGATACATTTCCACGGTATGATTGACCGTCACCATAGGAACATTCATCTGTTCAATTAGAGTAAAAGATACCAAAGTTCTGTCACAAACAAGCTTTTGCTTGACAATCAGCTCCAAAAAGCTTGAGAATAAGCTCTTAACAAAGCGCGTACTCACCACTAAAGTCTCCTTCCGAGATGTTTCTTTCTAAAATGAGAAATTGACACGAGATTAATTAAAGGGAGTTAACATCACGTAAAAGGTTCTGGGTAAAAGAGAAGACGAATTCGGCCGAGTTGAAGATCTGTGATGTCGCCCAGTTTAGATATTGTGATATTACGTTTTAGGGAATATGTATGACTGGACAATTCGTCACTCGTGGCTGATTGCATTGGAGTATGTATAAGCGAAAGGATTCTTACCTCCGAAAGGAATCACCACATGATATGAATTGAATGGTAGAAAGGACGACAACACTTTTTTCGCGTCCTTCCTTTACAAATCACCTAGATGATGTCATGACATTTTTCATAGAGCTCATAAAACGGTTGACTAGCCTTTGTTCTTAAACAGGTGGCTGTAAAGGCTTGTATATATCATCAATTAAAAGAGCTTAAACCTGCAGCGGTTGTTTTCCCTTTTTCTTATATGCAGACTCTGAGTTACCATCGAGATAAAACAGCTAAGGTTTGGTGGCACCTCGTGCTCATGATCTTCAAACACCAAGTGTAAAAAATTTAAAGACTTTTCCACCGCACTGACTCCTGCTTCTTGCGTCAAAGCTAATTCATTTTATGTCATATTTGTTCCCGATATAACTTTCAGCCTAACCCATCTATCCAACTTGTGACCTCTCCCACCATATTTTATTGCAAACTGCTTCAGTTAAAGGTGCAACCCTGTGAAGAGAAATGAAATACCCAGAGCAATATACCTTCGAGTTCTTCAGGATAATGACACTCTGGAATAGAGCCTCCGTTTCTCGGTGGAAACTCTGAGCAGTTAAGCAATTCAAAACTCCATTGAGTCCCTAATGCAGGGGAGTCTTGTACAGCATTGTTAATTTCCTTAGCGCGACGATACTCTTCTTTGCAATGTCTCTGTACCATAACATTGCAGGCCCCCCTACAGACCGGAACTGGAAGAATCTTTGATGACGTGTTGTCACACTTTTGAAAGTAGTGGTTGCAGTAAATCAGATCCACAGTTCGAAGGCATCTATCAGAGATATCACTTTTGGAAAGAACGTAAGCCCTCGCCATTCAGAAGTTATTTAGGCTTGTTTCCATCCTCGCTTGGTGCAATTTTGAGCCGTAAACATTGCGAACTTTAATAATATTCGCGCAAACACCTTTTTCTTTGTAAAGGTATGGCCTACACTCGCCTCGTGATGTAGGAATGGGATGAGCAGAAACACATGTGATATTGCTAAAACAGAAAAAATAAAAATGTCAAAAGATATTTTAGGGACCTTTCAATATTGATCAACTAGGGGGAAGGGAGATAAAGGATATATTTTGGTTGTGTCACGATAAAATCTAACGGACCCCTCCCCCCCGCTCCCAATAAGGCTCTGTAACTGATTCTTATAATAATGGCGGTTAATTAGCAGTCCTCCCCTCCCTTTTTACTCATTTAGCAATGACTGATTCCCTTTTCATTTTCCCTTTCACCATGCGACTCCTCCAAAATACTCCATTTTCCCTCCCTTCCCTTCCAACGTGATAAATAATGATGGTCCCTTAGCGCAGATAAGGGGCTCTATACAATAGGACTTGGCACGAGAGTTCAACGTCGTTCAGCGTAGAACGCTTTGACGGTCATTTTAATTTTGAATGACGCTATGAAAGCTCGACTTGCATTGAGATAAGCACCAGCTGGATGTATATTTCAAAGGAATAAGGCGTTTATCAATAATAGTACTTTTTGGTGCAAAATCTGCCGAAAGTTAGTCCATGAGGTACGTTTTTGTTGCTGATGATCGTACTTGTTTCCCAAGTATGTTCCAGGGTTTTTAAAAAAGTAAACAAAACTTTGATTTGTGACTGCGATCAACTGCTTGAGGTTGAATGGGTTTGCTGCAGTTTTCTGAGTACCATTGGTTGATTTTTTTTTAATCAAATGTTTACAAATGGCTTTAAACTAAGTTTTAACAGTAACCTTGGGTGGCAACCGCTGTCGTTTTTGGAGGCTTTTTCAAGTCGTGCTTGGGCCTCAGTTTCAGGCCTTTAACGCATGTTGTAAAAAAAACCAAGATGTTGCGTTACTCGTGTTATTTGCATGTCCATGTCCTAGTACATGACCATGCAAAGGAGTGTAAGAACTCTAAGGAGTGAAAGAAGGCGAAAAAGCACAAGGAATTGCGCTACAAGATGGGAATTAGCCGCCATAATTTCATCCCTCAACGTGTTATTGTGGAGAAATCTGGTAATAGATATCCAAAGAGTTGATGCGTTTCAACTTAGAGGGTTATTTAAGTGTTGTGACTGCAACCGTCTTAGCTTGATCCTGTGGCGGTTTAACCTTTTGGCGGTTTAACCGT